AAAAATCTTCTTTTATCCTTTCTGCTCTCTCTCTACTGCATCTGGTATGTATGTATGTATGTATGTTGTGTGTGTGTGTGTGTAGTGTGTCCTGTGTGTTGTGTGTGTGTGTTAGTCTGTGTGTGTGTGTGTGTTGTGTGTGTGTCTGTGTGTGTGTGTGCGTGCGTGCGTGCGTGCAGTGCGTGCGTGCGTGCGTGCGTGACGTGCGTGTGTGTGATTACGTGACGTGCGTGCGTCTGTGTGGCGTAGGCGTGCGTTCGTTCGTGTGCGTGCGTGCGCGCGCGCTTCGCGGTGTGTGTGTGTGTGTGTGTGTGTGTGGGTGTCTATTTCTCTCTGCACTTTTCTGCATTTCTCTATCGCCTACGCTTCACCGCTCGATCTGAACTCAACTCGACCCCTGCTCTCCTCTCTCTCTCTCTCTCTTTCTCTTCTCTCTCTTCTCTCTCCGTCTCTCATTCCTCGCCCTCCCCTCAGCGCTCTCTCTCTCTTTCTCTCTTTCTCTTTCTCTTCTCTCTTTTTCTCTCTCTCTGCTTTCGCTCTCCTTGCGTCGCATCCCACTTCCGTCTCTCTATTTTTCAGATCGGCTCCTCTGTCTCCCTGAACTCCCTCATCCTATCCAATCACATTGCTCTTTCGTACCCCAACAACGGCTAAACATATAAGAGAAAATTTGTGACCGATGAAACACAAAACGAACTTCGTACGGATTCCGCGTGATCATAACCGCGGCAAATTTCTCACAGATTTACTCGCTCGTACATTACATCGCGGATGGATGGATGGATGGATGGATGGATGGATGGATGGATGGATGGATGGATGAATGGATTGATAGATAGATACATACCTAGGGATGCGCTAGTGTTTTTGCAGTTAATTTACGCAGTTTGAGCAGTGCGATTAAGCATTTATAGGCTGATCACCATCGACGGCTAGAGCACATACATGCCCTCAGATACTGGCAATGTGCCAAGGCGAGTTACAAATCGATCGTCTGTCTCGAAAAAGTTCTTACTGCAGAGATGGAGGAAACGCTAACGGGAACGGAGCCCGTGGTTTCAGTCGTATATGTATCGATAAGATGTGACGTCTCGTTTCTCATATTAAGCGACAATGACGGCAACATAACTCACAATTACGGCTGCTTATTTATTCGACTCGATCCGAGATAAATTCTGTCATAGGTTTTTGCTTGGTTATCATCGTTTTCTTCGCTGTCATGTTTGGCGATAGACATGAATAAATCCTCGTTTTTCTCCCCCGCTGCGTGTGCCCGTACGCCCGTCGTCGTACTCTCGCGTATAGCTGCATATACGCACCTGGCGTATACAAACTAATATTTGTCTGATCGACTCTGCCCTAGTTAATAATTCTGTTCGGTTATTACAAGAAATCCCGTAATCACAAAGACGCTTTTCAGCCTTTCCAATATCGGCAGCTTTGTCGTTCAGCTTCTGTCAAACGTCGGTGCAAAACGCTCGCCAGCCGCTGTGCATGACTCCGACTGCAGCCGACGGACGGTGTAGAGCAAAGGTTCTCCTGTCGCTGCAATCGATGACCTGGTTCGTCTGGCTGCCGGCAGACGGCGCTGTAGGCGTCAATAAGGCGGTTCGTGCGCGCCGCACCCGGTGTGCCTGCATACTAGTGAACGGCGGGATAGCGTTGCGACGCAAGCTTGACCACCTAACCGACGCGCCGACGACGACGCTCGACGACAACGCAGCGCGGATTCTCTCTCTCTCACGCCTCAACTGGCTTCTCTATCTGTCTAACAATTTATCGGTAGACATTTCGCAGGAAGGTTAGCGTTCGGAGAAAATTCGTTTTCACGCTGCGATCGTGTCGACACACCGACGGCGCTTCTCTGTCATTCCTCTTCATCGGACACGTGTCTAGAGGACCAGTGTTTGCGTCGACGTACACTAGCGGGCATCGACTCTTTACCCACCGCTGTCCTGCCTGCATTAAAGAAGCCCGCTCGCGTTGTGCGCGTTCCCCAGCACCCGCCAGCGCTGCCGCAGCATTACTAGACGATGCAAGCTGGGTTCGTCTGTGCCGCGTGACAGTGACGAAAACACGCGCACACGCACGCGCCGCAGACTAACGCCCGCGCGCGCGCTCTCTCTCTCTCGCTGCTCTCTCTGATCAGCAGCGTTCTCCGTTGGGCGTATTCTGCTCAGCATCTTCGCGCGAGCCTCTCCTGCTGTCGAACATTCGTTTGTCTGCTTCAGCATCCTTCCGTCATCGTCTCCTGCTTGCCGATGAGGCATCGCACTGAAGCCATCTGTCATCATCGCGGCGAGCTCGACTAGTGTGGACTTGTCCGTGCGCGCCGGGACAACAGCCGAGTTTACTACTCTGGCTAGTTTCGTCAGTTGAGCACACGTGGTGTTCCAGAAACGCAGTGAGCGGAGAGAGCGTAAAAGTAACGGTAGTCTGTGCGACTATTGTGCGTCTCTCTCTCTCTCTCTCTCTCTCTCTGCGTGTGCGTATAGGATTCGGGACCGGTGCGGGTTATGTGGTTCCATAATCAGCTGCTGTGAACACAACACTCGCAACACTTGCTGAGCAGAGCGAAGGCGTCTCTATGATAGCAGGCGACGCATCCACAGTGACAATCGTGCAGACATCAATGCGGAACGCCGTCGTGCCAAGATAGAGGTATGTTCAGTTCGGTTACGTTACGCCGCGTAGCGACGAGTAACGCACACGATTTATATATATATATATATATATATATATATATATATATATTATACAATACTATATATATATATACGCGCTGTTTTTTTCTTGAAAGTTCGCGGCGTTTAAAATAAGAGTTGCTTATTCCGAATAGTAAACAACACAGCACATTCCGGGGTTTTTATATCAGGCACGCATTCGATAATATTTCTGCGCAGCGTTTAAACATAGAAACATACGTATTTGTTTCAAGACGGCCTTTCCACCGGAGGCAGTCTGGAAACGTTTGAAACGATGTTTAGTGCGTAACTGAGAAGCAAATGCGTTCTCGGTGGCTCCAAAAGCTGGGAGAAAACAGACAGCGGATCGACGACCGACCCACGTCATATAACAAATTGCGATTGGGAAACGCAATAGTCGCGTTGGATGAATAGCAATGCGTCCTAGCACGCCCCGTTCATTGTCTATTAACGGCAGGCGAAATCTGTGGCGGGTCTCACGCCGCGAATGAAAATGGCTCGCAGGGTATACACGGGCGCCGGAGAATGACGTGTCGTCTCTTTAAGAGTAGGCAAAACGTTTTCGCGAATAAAGAAATCGCTGAAAATCTGAAGAACGAGTCCCGCGTACTGGCGTACGTTATATATCAATTGTAATTGCATTAATAGAAATCCGATGTCACCCACGCTCCCGTAACTTTAACGCGTAGCACGTTTCGCACAAGCGCGACATGGTAATTCGTACACGTCTCTACACAGTACGAAACGCTTACTTATCGCGCGACGAACGATAACTCGTTTTCTGCTTTACGTCTGAAATTAAATTATCGAAAAGCGACACGTGACTTCTTAACGATGCTTACTGCCAGGCTTGACATTAATCTATAAATTACTCTGATTAAAGCGCACTGCCTCACACGACAGAGGATTCCGGCACAAAACAAATTTGTCTTTCTCTCTGGGGAGCATTGAGTTCTTTATATTTAAAGAATAAGTATTTTGATTCAGCGAGAACGAATCGCTATATATATATATATATATATATATATATATATATATATATATATATACTATCTGTATCTGCGTGTAAGCGTGCGCGTGCGCGTGCGCGTGGCGCGTGTTCGTGTTCGTGTACATGTGGCGCGGCGCGCGTCGCGCGCGAGCGCGTGTTGTTTGTGTGTTGTGTGTGTGTGTGTGTGTGTGTGATGTGTGTGTGTGCGGTGGGATGTGCCGCGTGTGTGTGCGCGCGTGTGTGTGTGCGTGGGCACGTGTGTGTGTATGCATTCCTTACTATACGGGTACGAATCTTCGCTTGAGACCATTGAGACCGTGATTCAGATTGCGATGATATAAACAAGTGCGTGCGTGCACTAACGAGAAAGCAATTACATTACTGAATATGATCGTTACGATGTGCACGCTATAAAATCTAGCCTCCTATATGTAATTTCGTTTCGTAAGTGGCATCGTGACCTGTTGTGAATGCAATATTGTTCCGAGAAAAGGTTGCTAAAGAACTATATACGCTGAATGTATAAACGCACTTCAGAGAGCCTGAACGGCATCTAGACAGTTATTGATCTAGAGAACCAAGCGGCCGATATCTATAAGTGATCAAATATATCAAGCACATGTGTCATGATTGCCTAACGCGTTACGCACTGAACGAAGACACTCGGCGGAACATGACCGACACTTAAGTTTACATTTTGCTTTCTTGATCCAGTTAGTTCTGCGCTAAATCTTAGTGGACCTTTCTTACACAATTTCCACAACCACCTCGGCTCAATTGCAAAAACAATTTTTCTACGTTAGTGGCGAAAGCTCTTCCACGTTCCCCCATGCGATACCACAAGAAGGCAGACTGAATCTATGAAACCGACCGGACTGGCGAAGCAGCCCAATTCATTTCACCAATCTGTTGTCCTGCGGCCTGTAAAGGTTATACCTATCATTCGCTCACCCAGCCGTTGACAATCAGTCTTCTGACGCGTTTCTGATGTCGAGATAAAGAACCCTATTACCAAATGTCAAAGCAGCTACAATACACTGGGCGCGCTGTTGCCGGCAGGCTATATTACCATGCCTTTTTCGTTTCCGCATGCAGCCGCACAAGCTATACATAGCCGTGACAGAATCGAATCGTGATCAAAATAATTCATACTCCGCCAGGTATCGCGTGTCATTTTTTTACCACGGAGGGAAACGATAATATGCACCATGCAGAGCCCACTGAAGCCTGATGACACTGGCTAAATCAGTGTGTGTCACGTACTGAAGCCGCGTATCACGAACGTAAAAAAAACCGTGAGCCATGAAACTAGTCCGTGTGTCACGAAAGCAAGCTTCGTGTGTCAGGGACTGAGCTCGCCGCGAATTTACGAGCGCGCGGCTAGCCATACGCATCTGCTGCCCGGCTCTTCGCGTTACTATAACTCGCACACACGCCGCGAGCCGGTCTCATCTGTTCAGTGTTCCTATCGCGTCGTCTCTCATTAAATTCCCGCACACATAAACGCATCGTGCGTGCTGCTGCTTTTTTATTTATTTTTATTTTTTATCTCATACGCATTTATTACGTAAGATTTCCGACTCGATCGAGCCGCGGCCCAGCTTCACAATTTAATTTTCCGCAACTCTTCTTTCTCGCGCCTTGAATCTGTTCTTCTTTTTTTCGTCCGATGTTCGATAGACATCGGGAAGCGCGCAGACCCCGCTCGGGTAATGCTATCCCCTGGGCGTGGAGGGCGGTTACCGCAACGTGGCAGCACTAGTGTTAGGATTAGGGTTAGGGTCAGGGTCAGGGTTAGGGTTAGAGTTAGGGTTAGGGTTAGGGTTAGGGTTAGGTTTAAGGTTAGGGTTAGGGATAGGGTTAGGGTTAGGGTTAGCGGATAGGGTTAGGGTTAGGGTTAGGTTTAAGGTTAGGGTTAGGGATAGGGTTAGGGTTAGGGTTAGCGGATAGGGTTAGGGTTAGGGTTAGGGTCGATAACATGGATGCGAGTCTGATAAACATGGATGCGAGAACGTGCGTGTGAAGCCACGCTTGACCAGCTTCGTGTTTTTCCTCAGCCGCTCGCGTCGGCTCGCTTGATCCGGCAACGGTTCTTCGTGTAGCCGGGAACTGTTCTCGGCGTGGCGTGGCGTGGCGTGGCGTGGCCGCATTGCGCACAGCTGGCGCGAATTTCTATCGCGCCGGCTTCATTGTCGCCGTCGTACGGCAGCGCGTCTGAATAGAGCGGTGCCGCGTGTAAACAGGGCCCTTCGTTTCGCAAGCGCCATCGACTGGTCCGAGAAGCTACAAAAGCCGTCAACCTAATTTCGCGTGTAGACGCGCGCGTACATGCAGAAAAGGTTATGCTAGTTATCGTGCGTTGTCGCCGCGCAACAGACGTTATTGGCAACGCGTTAGCGGCTGACCGAAATATTGCCGCACGCCTGTCCGCCGCAGCGTTCAGCTGTGCCTTTCATTTACCCCGGATGCTGCCGTCCTTCGCCCACCCTCTAATTCCTATAACGACTTTTAGTTTAAGGCTTTAGGCGCACGCAATCTACGGGCGGTCCCTTCCATCTGGACACTAGTTGGATTAGGGTTACGTCGATAATGGACGGATACAGTGTTTGCCTTTATGGACATCATTGAAAAATGTATGTACGCTTAGGTCAAACGCCCGAATCCCCGAGCAAGATAGAGAAAGAGAGAGAGAGAGAGAGAGAGAGAGAGAGAGAGAGAGAGAGAGAGAGAGAGAGAGAGAGAGAGAGAGAGAGAGAGAGAGAGAGAGAGAGAGAGAGAGAGAGAGAGAGAGAGAGAGAAAGAGAGAGAGAGAGAGAGAGAGAGAGAGAGAGAGAGAGAGAGAGAGAGAGAGAGAGAAAGAGAGAGAGAGAGAGAGAGAGA